GAGCAGGAGCAGGAGCAGGAGCAGGAGGAGCAGCTGACCAGAGAGCGTCCGTATTAATATCAAATGAACTGTGAGGAGCATGATGAGCTCGGTTGGCCATGTGGGTTGCCTTGGCAGCAGAACGTGCCGGGCGAACTCCATTGTGACAGTTGATACATGACCCGGATTCGCCAGCGACAACAACAATGAAAGTTAATAAGATTTTACAAGAATGAGCCCATCAGCATCATCGTCACTGGGAACGGTCACAAAATCAACAAGCTAATGTCGAAGAAAATATCATGGGCATGGCTTCATCATGGCGAACGACTTAATTTCGTAAGGGAATTTTTGTAAAGGATTATTAATGGAACAGGGCAAGTTTATCCTGATTGATTTATGTTAAAATTGTTCGAGAATATTGTTTTCTTACTTATTTAACAATTATTTCGAAACTGGCACTGAGTTTAGAGCCAACTTTTACTACTTTATTATAATACTGAACATTTGAACATTTTATAAGGGGTTAGTTACATCGTTAAACTTGTCAAAATTTGAAAAAAATTTAAACTTCTCAAATTTTAACTAACTTAGGAAAGCTATCCGAATTTAAATGAATTTATTTTTGGCTAAATTGTGATCGATTTCACATTAGAACCTATAATCCAATAGGTACCCATAGGTACCTTAAGGGTATACACACTTCGGCTCTTCGAAATCAGCTTCCTTTATTGTTAATGGTATTTCGAGCTTAAAGAGACAAATGGGTTAGCACAAAATATACATAAAATATACATAAGAAACATAAATTGTGCGATAGTTCAATATTCAGATTATAAAATCGAAATAAAATTATCATAATAATATGAATATTTTCGATAATATATACTATATACAAAATATAAACGTATAAAATTAACCTTTTCAACACAATATACAACAAGGATATCAACACAAAAATACCCCTTTTCCTCTGCTTTATAATTTAGCTTTTAATCAATAAATTGATTTAAAAATTAATGTCGAAAAGTATATTTTGCTGTTATTGCCCAGTTCTATTCCCCCCTGATTTCATTGACACGCATAGGCAAATAATAACACGCCCTCATGTTCAATCTAAATAATAAAGCTCGCAGTAAAACAAAGAGTTTCAGTCCCCAGTTGTTGCATTTGAAATGTCCTGAAACTTGTCCCAATCGCCATCGAGTTCAATTGCGGAATGTGTTAAATGGCTCCCACCTCCATTCTTGCTCCATGTGCGCAGTGTAAAAATAATTGCGGCCGGCTGCTCAATTTGCCGGAGTCCACAGCCCCGGGTAGCCATTGGGGGACGATGTCCGTGCACGGCTGTTTGTTTAGTGCACATAAATAAAGCATACACTCGGACAACTAGCATCCAGTTCACGCACACACACTCGTGGTCTGGATTGCTTTTGGTGTGATGTAATCAAGGACTATCGCATAGCGCACTCGAACAGGTCCTGGGCCAGTCTGGCAAGTTCTGACCGGCTGACCATCTATCAGAGGTATACCCAAGAGGGGTTTAGGAAAGGATTAAAACGATTTCACTCTCCAGGGAATCTTCAATTATTTGAAATCTATATTTCATTTGAAATTTCCAAAAGATAATTCCACCACTTAAGAGTTTTATTGGAGTGCCAAAACCCCTGGTAAATATTTCCTGCATTCGCCACTGAACTCTTCTACAATTCTTTCGACCAGAAAGCCTTCGAAGCCCGGAATGCTCCATGTATGTGTAGGTGCCAGTGGCTGTCCATCGAGCCGGACTCATTCAACTGGTGGTGCAATCGCCTGCCTCGTCCGTAATGCACCTCCACCTGACCGTCCCGTCGTAAAGCCAACTCCTGCAGCTGAACCCGGCCGTGTGTAACTTCATTAGGCCCGGGGCTGATTTGCAGCGGGTAAATTGCTCGTGAAGTTGATGGCCAACGAGCGGCGGCGGTGTCCATCGACCATCGACCTGGTCGCCATATCTTTGGAGTTGAATCTTTGACTCAATTACCGGCCATGGACGCCAGGTTGTTGATTTTGTCAGCTGGAGTTGACTTACCCGCCGGCCCATTTATGCATATGAATTTATTCAAATCAGACGGGTTCTCGTCCTTGTCCAGAGGAATTTGTTGTGGCGCTGGCGGCTCTAAACTATTTTACATTTAGAGCAGCCCAAAGTTGGGGCATTCCAGCGAAACCGGAGCCAATGTGGAAGCCAAAACCAGGAGCTTGCCCCAAATACGTGCCAACCACCAGGGTGGGTGTTAGCCGCGTTCCTGTTCGTTCTCCTCTCTATGTGTGTGTTAGCTGCTTTGTTCACATGTTTTCACTTTGTGCTTAATTTGCATTTAAATGGTTTTTGCACTTAGGCTATTTCCCGTGTAAATGAGCTTTGTTTGCTGTTGTTCCCGTTGCTTTTGCATGGCTCTAAAGCCAACCCAGAAAAAACAAAAAACAAAACATACTAAAGGCCGAGCTTTTACTTGCATTTTTGGCCAAATCCAAAGCGCGTGTCTTCCCAATTCCTGCGGCTAAAACCCTGGAAATTGCCTGGGGGCATGCCAAGTCTGCTGCTTGACTTTTTTTATTGAAGCAAATTCCTTATGACCTCAGCCAACGTGATTTCGCGAAAACGACCCAAATTTGTATGAAAATTAAACCAAAAAAGAAAAAAAAACTGCAAATATTATTATATTTACAAACGGAAAACCGTTTTTAGTTGCTTTTTAATTGCAGACGATGCAGAAATTATGCCTCCATCAAAATGCGCTTGGCATTTACATAAACAAATACGGGCGGCCTGCAATAGGAATAAATATTTGGCTGTTTTTGCCTTTATTCAATTTTGAAAGCAAACTGGAATTATAACAGCAAACTGATATTTGTCCAGTTTTTGCCCTGCAATGTGTTCTGGCCCTGACCGAACGATACTGGGTCTGATATCATCTCTGTTCGTTGGCTGTCTGCCATGCAAGGAGTATTGGTAGTTGGCATAAGTGAAGGCCGGCGAAAATAATTTCGCAAATTAGCGAGTGCCCAGCTTTTTATGACTTAATGCCTTAGACAAAATATGTCAGGCAAGGCAAAACACAAACACTAACATCAGCCAACACACAATGTGCCCATTTAGCGCAATGTCAACTCTTGTGTTGTGGTCACTAATGACGACAGGATGGCAGGCAGTCAAAGCCCGCTTCCGAACACACAGCAAAATGGCGGTGGACAGGACAGGCGCAGGACCGTGTCGTCGGAGCCATGACAATGATGTGGCCATGTCCGGACGAGCTCTGCCAGAGGATAGAAAAGCCGCGGCGGAAAAAAACACAAACACAAACTGATTTGATTGTTTGTAATTAAAAGTGGACGGACGTCGCGAAAATTAAATGACCATGCGCAGGATATGCGGAACCATGGCGAGTCCTGCGCCCTGATCCTCCACATAAAAGTTTATGGCCATGTGCCATGACGGGGCTCTGTCGTTAATTTAAAAAGTAGAAATCCCATAAAACGCGAGAATGCCAGCAAGTTCAACACGTGCCGGAGATGAGGAAAGCCGGTGATGGAGATCCACGTGTGTACTTCGGTGTCCGGTCTTCTTAAATGGTTAATTAGCCTAAATAATTCCGTGTTCATTTATTCCATCAAAACTTAAATGCCACTCGAACCGTCTGGAGGCCTAATGACAGCAGCTCTTGAGAACGGAATCAGGATCTGAGTTGGATTCAGTTTCGCTACGTTATACGGATAACTGTAAACAAGGATATATATTCTTGGGAATATCAGAAGGAGAAGGGCTGTCTAGGTGGTCTTAAAAAGTGTACAAGAAAAATGTACTTGAAAGTACAATATGCATAATTAAAACCAAGTCAAATTTTCAAACACATAATACTAGAATCAGCTTAAATATTATATTATAATCAATAGTAACTAACATAAGCACTAAGACACAACATAACACATAACAAATCAATTAAACTCAATAATAATGAAAGAATGAATGATTGAATAAAACCACTTTGTTGAATTTAATTGGAAATCTTAAATAGAACACTTCAAACATTTATCCATAAACCAATTAAGTAAATCGCTCAGGTAATTTAGAATACATCTAAACACGTTGTATAACATGAATCGGACACTGTTCCAAATAAATGCATTTCATCGAAAGGTGGAGATGGACATGCAATCAACAACTTATAAATATAATTTGAAATTGTGATATTTTCCCAGAAACCAATTACAGTCAATTGCTTGGGCAATTAAAATAAAAAATAAAGGGAAAACATGGCCGAAGGGCGAAGGCGGACGTGCCGTCAGCAGAATTACCCACGGCTAGGCCACACTTAATGCATTTAAAGCGACTGCTTTGGCAATGGAAAGGCTGGGACAGCCTGTTGATTCAGCAGGACTCCCGCCGGAGAGGGGCCAGGAGAGGCACAGGGGTCACTGGAACCGGCTGGGACTAAGGCAGGGAACGGGGAACTGTTGCCGTGGCGCAACAACTGGCCGGATAACTGAGCGGAAAGCTTTCCATCGAGCAAAAGCTCTCTCTGGAGCGACATTCAGCTGGAAAGTCTCGACTCCCACCACATCGAGCTGGTGTGGGTGTATCCTTTTTCCAGGCAGCCAGTGCGTGGCGTCGCCTTCGGTCCACTTCAGTCTAGGATAAACGCTTGCGACGAGCACAACAAGTGCGCGCATGCCAACAGCCCCCGGAGTGGTTTTCAGTGGTTGCCAAGCCGAAACCGAAACCGAATCCGAAATCCAAAATCCGAAATCCGAATCCGAGCAACGGAAACTGAAACCGAAACCGATAACGAAACCGAAACCGAAACCTGCTGTGTAGTGTAGTGTCCTGAGTGAGAGTGAAACTGCGGCAGGACGCCTGCCAGGCAGAAGATCCTGATCCCAACTCCAATCTCGATCTCTGATCTGCGAGTGTGCGCGATTTGTTCGACTTAATTAGCTGCGCGCGTTCTTTTAAAAGATGTAACTCCCCCGCTCGAAACTCCTATCGATATTTATTGTGCATGGCCTGGGAGGTGGTGCCAAAGCGGGTGTAGAGCCCCCCCTAATAAATCCCCGAACAAGCCACCGATAACAAAAAATATTTATATTTCTTTTTGTGAAGATAATCAGAGAGCCGCCTGCACCCACATTGGATATAATTTGATATTCGAAAACGTTTTGTGCTTGCATTCCGGATTTCAATCTAAGGCAAATCCCCATCTGGAACGTACTCTAGCAAACCAATACGGAAATATGAATAGGTTTTGGATAATCGCTTTACTTTTAGGATTACAGCAAACAAAGCCAATAAGTAAGTACTCACACAAAGTGTCCAGTGAAAGCAATGTTTGCTCAGTCCATTTGGCTTTTTCGATGGCTTTTTCGATTGCCCTTTGCATGATTAGATCTCAAGGGGGTCAATCTGTGATGCATCCAGAGAAGGAATACTGCTTCAAGCTTGGTTTACAAATAGAACTTGTGGTGAATTATAAACTTGAAAACCTTTTTGTAATTCCTCCAATTTCTGCTTGCATGCAAAATGGCAAAAAAAAATCCTTCTGACTAATTGCAAATGGCTCGCAAGTATGCCGGTGTGGCATAGGCCTTCTTAGACCTTCGAAAAACGCCAAGTGTCACGCACGTAGCTCAGAGGCCCCTTTGGGAGGGGGCGGCCAAGGCGGCCGACGAGAGGCGTGGCAGCAGCCGGACGCATTCTCAGCACCTGCCACCTTTGCCTGCTGGCTTTTCCATAAGACTCATGAATAATTCATTGTGCACGCTTCGATTATTTACTTCATAAACATTCCACCGGGGTCTGGTCCGGCCGGTCGGTCAGAGGTGGCTTAGTTAAAGGAGAATGGGGCATGTCCAGCAGTTTACAGGCTGCGCGCATGCTTTCAATTTTAATAAATTGTAAATTGCAAGCTTATCAGCAGGAGCTCTGGAAAACACCACCTGTAATATGCAATGTGCAATATGGAATATGCAATGTACCATGTGAAATGGCAGCTTTGTTGACGTGTTCAATGAATTGCAAATGTCACAGCTAATGGGAATTGCCTTTGGCCTTTTGGAAATTTCATTTGATTAACGAACCAATAAGGACCCAAAGTATGCTGCTAAATTAAATTTCATTACAGCTTCATTTGCGGGGGCGAAAGTTAATCAAAAATCCAATGAGCAGCTCGTAAAACACAACAACGCCGTGGCTTCCCGGCTATATCTATTACATGTTGTCGCTGGCAACGTAATTGCTGAAAAATTAATACGCCAAGGAGCCGGGATTCAATGCAGAAGATGGAGCAGGAACCTCCAGCAAGAGGGAGAGACTAAGATCATACCGTCGTAAAGCACGTTTTCGCCATTTACCCAGACGGAGTCCTGGAGTCTTCGATATAAAATGCGGCGATGCCACAGCGAAATCAATTTCAAGTCATTAAACGAAATGAATCTTTATGGAGAGGAGGGAAGACCCACAGATTAGCAACCCGAGTGTGTATATGTGTGTGTGTGGTCCTTGAGAATTTAAACACGGTGCTCTGCCGCTGTAATGGAAACTGCCCCAGGACTTCAGACACTTGATGCGATTATTATTGATTTTCCGTGCTGAAATTGTTGTGATTGAATTATTTATGTGTGGGAGTGGAGAGAGGTAAGTGGTGATGGTTCGTGGTTCCTGGTTCGGCTTAATGGCGGATCCAAGTGGAGTTCATTAGGTGGCCCACTCAGCAACCGCTCGCTTGACAGCTTAATTGAGTTGGCAAGCCTGTCGAGCCCGGCGAGCACTTATTTTCAGAGGCAACAAAAGGCGCACGTGACGGGCATACTCGCTCACTGCTCACTGACACAAAGGAGTAATCTTGCTGTTTGCCCTGCCCTTGATGGTGGATTTAATTTTGTAAATTAAAGCAAAACATAAATCAATTTTACTAACTAAACAGACGGCGGCCCCAGATAGTGCTGCTCTACACACTTAAATTTGAATAAATATTGTGGCAGGCCACTTGAGCCACGAGGCGGTAACAGCTCGAGGTACTAGCTGGCCTTCGCGTCGTATACTTAATGTGGCCACATGTCCATACAAATGTAATAATTGCAAGAGCGCCCTCAGCGACTGAGCACTCAGTGCAACCTCAATGGCAGTGCTGTCCCCGGGCCAACTGAAGATGTAAATGTGGGGATGAGGGGCGGCAGGATGTGAATGAAGACGTGGCTGTGACTGTGCCTGTGGATGTTGATGTTGATGTAGATGTGGCCGGGGCTGTGGATGTGACTGTGCCCAGTGTACACACATCACGCCGACGACAGCCAACGACAGATGCGGAGCAGGATGCTGGGAGGCAGGAAGAAGGACGCCTGTAGCCTGCAGCAGACTAACTGACTGACTGCCTGGCTGGTCTTGCTGCCAGGATGCCAGGATGCCAGGCTGCTGGGCTGCCGGGCTGCCGGGCTGCCTGCTGCCTGCTGCCTGTCTGCCGTATGACATGTGACGACTTTGACAAAGCCAGCCAGCTGCTTCCGTCCCCCCGCTGGCCGGGACTGACTTGGGCCAAGACGCTTTTGGCATATCTAATGAAACTTTCCCAGCCTGGCATTGCACTTTAATGGACTCACTCTCTCTCTGGGTAAAAAAATAAATACGGAAATAAACCAAATAATGAAGGCAAAAGTTCGGTGCGCGCCTTGCCAATCGAAATAAATATTGTAAACGCTCTATAAATTGTTGCTCCGCCACAGGCCAACTTTTGACCCGCCGCCAGCCGGCTGTCGAAGTTAACTTGAGTGGCAGAAATCAGATTAAGCCAAATATTATACATGGCAGGCGCACATTTCGCAGGTGAGAGTTCGACTTGGCCCACGACCAGGAACAATTTTGCACACAAATTTGGCGCAAAGACAATCAAAAAGTTATAAAACAAGCTTCGGCGAAACAAAAGCAGGGCTCGAGTGGCCGCAGGCGGAATCCGCCAAGGAGGCTGGCATCTGGATCCTGGATTCCCGGATAGGTGTCTCAGAGGCGTCTCAGAGGCGTGTGTGTATCGGGCTGTAAAAACTTTGGCCAACTTTTCGTTGATTTCATTGTTTTTGCCGCCTCTGCTGTACACTCGTGGTGTTTTCGGGCCGTGCCATTGCGCATACGCCGCGTGGTCTTATTATCAGCCGCATCAGCGGCGCCGTAAAGTAAATGCAAAGTGTGCAAAGTCTATAAACGAGCGTCAAACTTAAAAGCCCCAAGGTGGCGTCGCCTCGCCAAGGACGACAAGGACTTAAGCTTGTTTTTGGGCCCACGCCTGGAGGAGCAAGAGGGGGGAGCTCTAACATGAAACAACAGACAGAAAGAAGTACAGGAAGCCAGGTTTATCGGCGGGCAATACACTCCTCTCTCTTGCCTATCAAAAAAAGTTGCTCACACGACAAATTGTCACAGAAACACAGAGGAAGCCCCAAGCAGGGAAGGGAATTTTATATTTCGCCGTTTTCTATTATTTGTATTATTTATGGTGCTCCTGGCAATGTCGTTAAACGGGGGCCCATTAAGAGCCTCCAATAAATATGTGAGCCAGGCTCCAAGCTCTGGGATGTGTGTGTGTGGGTGACAGATGCCAGATGCTGGATCACAGCAAGCAAATAAAAAAGCAAGCTTCCGCAAAACAATTATGCCTAAGTGTGGGATCTAAAATATTTATGAAGAGACAGAGAGCTTTGGAAAAAACGCTCTGCTTCTGCTGCGGAGAAAGCCAAGCAACCAAAGCCGATTGTCAGCTATTTTCAGCTGTAAAATTTTGCGCAAATAAAAGTCAATGCGGCTAAAGAGACTTGGAAAAACTATTAAGATGTCAGCAAATAATTACGCATGAAAGCAGCTGCATAAATCTGGTCGCCTCTTATTGCCAAATCCCCCACTAAAACGAACTGAACTGGAAACTGGGAAGTTGGCAATCTGGGAAACTGCAAAGCCATCGCCCATCGCCTTGAAACGGACATAATGCGACACTTGAAGTCGAGCATCGAAGACGGAAGGCACTTTATCAAAAGGGATTTGGGACCCAGAGGAGCTGAGAACTTATACATTTGCCTTCCACTTGGCCGGGGTTTCTGACAGTTTTGTAATAACAATGACCGCAGAAAAAAAGTGGGAATCGATTTGCCATTTTTTACTGAATTTATGAGTTTTACTTTTGTTGTTGTCCGACTACCATTTTCCGTTCAAGCCAAACTGATGACATTTATATTTTATTGCCAGAGTTCACCCTCCAACTCTCTCTCTCTCTTTGAACTTAATCCAGGGACGGCCTTAATGAGCCTTAATAAGGCCGCTCTGCTCACAGCAGGAAGCAACTGCAGCATAAATCTCGTCCCAACCCTAATCACGGACACGACCCGAAATAAATTTCGCGAAATCCATAAATTCTACTCTGAACAGAGAGAAAAATTCGCCATCGAAATGTAAATTCATCGTCCAGTGACAAGAAGGAGAGCCGAGCGGCGGTGCGTTAATTATTCAGGCCCACATGCCATGAACCAGGAATCAGGAACCAGGAGCCAGGAGACGAGAAGCATTAGCCCACAAAGTGCCTGGCCGCATTCATCATTATCCACAGTTTGATTTTCGCCACAAAGTTTTTCGGCCTCAAAACTTTTGACAAAGGTCGAGAGCAGTTTAAAGCAGAGCCAAAGTCAAACGCTGCCGGCAATTCCTGCAATATAAATGAATGATCCACAGCCGGCCGGTTAGCAGAAGCAAGTTTTTCCCTTTTTTTTTTTGAGGTTTAGGGGATTTGGGAACGGAAGAGCACAAAGACCAGCACCACCAGCCAGAGCAGGAAACGAGCCCGGGCTGGGTAAAAGTGATGGGGCATAAATTTCTGGACCGAAATCCGAAAGAGCTTAAGCCATAAGCGAGGCGTGTGGTCAAGCAAAACAAATGACAGCAAAACGCATAAATTGAACCTGTCCCGGGCCATTCGAATCACAGAAGTACAGCCACGAAGAAGCAGTTATGGTCAGAGTTCAATCTGTGAGTCATTAGGAAACGGGTAATGGCCAGGAGTGGTAGTGATTCGAGGCCACACCATCGTTCACTGGGGTAAATAAATCAAAGCAAATTATATTCGAAATTTAGAGATAGCTGTACCCTACTTCAAACTTTTACAATTTTATTCCAGAATTTATATAGCTTTTCGCTCAGTGCTTTCCCAAACACCCATAACAATTTAATCACTGCCAAAAAAACCAGGACAATTAAAAGTCAAGTCCGGAGGCTTGTATTTTATTTTATTGCTGTGATACACTCACAGACAGGCGTTATAA